AGGATTTTTTTTTTTGAGTGATCCTTACCGTACAGATACTATTGACTAACAGACACACATAGAAGTGAATCTGCACCCAAAATTTGTGGTTACAGTCAGACTCTTCTTAATCACACCTGCAGTGCGCTGCTCACTAATGCAGCGTACGCAGCAGACAAACCTGTTGTGAGTAAAATGGCAGCAGGTGAAGTAATAGCTTGTGTCACGATGTCATGTTGTAGCTTGTGCAGACGGAGGAGACAGTTTCACACGAAGGAGGGTGGACGGGGGATGGAAAGAGAAAAGGGAAAGGGATGAGCAGAAAGGAGAGGGTGCAGAGCAGAGGGCGGAGATAACCTGTTAGTGAGGGGATAAACGAGAAATAAAGAATGCAGATTCATCTCAGAGAGATATTATTATTCAGTTCAATTCAATTCAGTTTATTTATATAGTGCCAATTCACAACACAAGTCATCTCAAGGTGCTTTACAGTTCAACCACATCATACAGTGAAATTGATTCAAAGTTTTCTATCTAAGGAAAACCAGTTGATTTCATCGACTCATTGACTCAAATACAATCCCTCACACTAAGCATGCTTGTAGCGACAGTGGAGAGGAAAAACTCCCATTTAACAGGAAGAAACCTCCAGCAGAACCAGGCTCAGTGTGAGCGGCCATCTGCTGAGGCCGACTGGGGTTCAAGGAGACAGAAGCAGAGATACAAAAAGCTGTAAACGGTGGCTCCGTCCAGGAAACAGATCAACGAAGCATATGACGTAACAGAGCGACGACGAAGAGGAGCTAATTGATAGATCAAACTCTTGCCGAAACCAGTCGGGAGAAGAGCAAAAACATCTTTTCCTCTGAGAAAAGCCTCCAGAGCAGCGTTTTGCTCTTCTTTCAGTGAAGAAATACAGTGTAATTCCGATAAAACTTGCTCGATAGCCACGCTAACCCTAGTTTCATCGGCTGAAGCCGCCATGTTCTTTAGACGGAACTGTCGCGCTTCTCGTTGCGACACACCTCAACTCGCCTCAAAGCCAACGCTGATTGGACGTTCCTTTGGTGAACGCCTCCAAATTTTCTTCAACGGAGATGTCTCCAGACTGATTAGCGAGTGAAATCTTGAAAGCTTGCAAGATCAGGATGGTCTCACGAGGCTATGAAGAGAGCACATCCAGCCAGTCACGGTCAGAGAAACAGGATCACACTGGAAAACAGGCCGATCTCCAATATCCATAAACAAGGGTGTTGATGGAAGCAGCACAGCTGATATTTCTCTCCAGGATGGTGTCACAGCCAAATAGGAACAGATGAGGTGAAGCTAAAAGCAGAGAGAGCATAAAGTTAGAGACTAAACTAACAGATTCTGCAGAGTAGGAGAATAGAGATAGAATGAAGCAATAATTCTAATGTGTTAGATGGAGATGTGAAAACAGAGGGGTTCACTTTGCTGCCATTGACATAGAGTAGCTTAGTACCTTAGGGCTCTTGATGTTGTGGGGCTGTGTTGGTTAACATGACTCTGCAACATTGTGTGGACATCAGAAGCAGTTCCCTTGAATTGGCAGACTTGGGTGGTCCTCCCCCTATTTAAAAAGGTGGACCGGAGGGTGTGTTCCAACTACAAAGGATTCACACTCTTTTAAGCCTCCCTGGTAAGGTCTTTTCTGGAGAGTTCTGGAAGGGAGGTACCGTAGGATAGTCGAATCTCAGATTCATGAGGAGCAGTGTGGTTTTTGAGGGTGCACTGGAGTTTGCCCAACAAAGACAAGAAATATCCCTCTCCATGTAATCAATCTGGGATATTTTAGTTTCCCTTTATGAAATGAGAGAGAAAAAATGTCAAACGTTTAAAGAAGTATAATCTGGTTATTATCTTAACCCTTCCTTAAATATTTTCATACAGCAAATTTTAATCAACTATTTTTTATGTGTTTTTTGTGGGGTGAAGATCAGGTAGTTCAACAATTGAGATTTACTTTCTGACCCACAAACGTGTGTCACCCACCAGCTGATTGCGTGTAGAAGTGGGTGAGAATGTGATCATGTGGGTTTTGGGAAATACGGGTTGTACATTAGTTATGATGAAATTCTAATCTGTGTAAAGCAAATGAATGCATTCAAAACAACTGCTACCAGGCAAAACCCTTCACACATGTTGGACTTGTGAGTCACCTGTTGTAGGAGTTTGGTAGGACAAATGCCTGTTTGGCCTCACACCCTATTTAAAAAAAACAGCAAAACAGAAACACTGCTACACCAGCTATGAATGGTTACAGTTTGCGTTCTTATTGCACAAAGAACAATCACACATTTTATGTTCTGTCATCTTTAAGTGCAGAACTTCCCTGTTTGGTGGTTGTCAAAAATATTTATCTGGCTGCAATGTTTTTTTTTTTTTTTTTTTCCTCTATTTTTAACCAGATCTACAAATTAAATACTTTATGTGTTTCACCTCTGTACAACCAAATATTTTTCTTTCATTTATATTTGGATAAATAAGCCTACCTCATGGTAGTCTATCAACATAATTGGGTGCAATATTTTGTTGTGGAAGTAAAAATTCAAAATCTAGATAAGTCATTTTTTCTTAGAATAAGTGCATTTGTTTTTGGATTAGGAGGTAAAATATAAATTTTGCCAATGGAACAAGACAATTTACACTTAAAATAAGAAAACACAGTTGCATTGTCTTATTTCAAGTGTGTATTATCTAATTATCTTATTTTAAGAATAAAATTACTCATTCCATTGGCAAACTAACTCATTTACCTACTCAAATTAAGGGTAAATACACTTAATTTAAGAATTTTATACTTATTTCTAGATTGTTTTTCCAGTGTTATGCTTTACAAAATTAGAAATATTTAATTTGTTTTAGGCTTTCTTTTTTGCTTTAAAGGTACACTATGCAACCGGTGTTGATTTTCCAGCGAGGCTCCCCCCAGAGGGCGAAAGTAAAAGTGCACTGTCGTAAATATGCTCAGCTGTTCTCCTGGTTTCTCCGTCAAGCCAGGCGCGGTTGTTTTGAGCTTAGCAGCAAATGACTAATGCTGCGTTCACACTGGACGTAGCTGGCGCGACAGAAGCAGCGAGTTTACATGCAAAGTCAATGGTTGACGCGCGTCAAGGCGCAGCAAAAGGTCCCGCGGCTCGTTTTGAGCACCAGGCGCAACACGTCGCGTCGGATGCGCAGGGAGAGAGACACAGCGCTGATGATCACTCCTCCTAAACAGTTTATTGACGCCTAAATTAACTTAAAATGCAGAAATCTGCCGGCAGAATATGCAGTTTGGATTATTTAGATGAAAAACACCTACCAGCTGCCGCGATGAACCGCTGCTGATGAAGGGATCCATACTGTCGGCGCATCCCTGGTATGTGGGGGTCTGAGTGGCTCCGACAGAAAAAATATTGAAGGCAGGATGATAATAATCTGAATGAACTGACTGCACTGATTACGTTTTCAGGTGTATTTTCTCACTTAAACACATATTAAAACTACTTTATTCCCACTGATCACAGCAAATATAGCTGCAAGGCAGAGAAAGGATAGTGAAGCTCCGCCCAATGCGCCTCAGACACACTTTTGCACCGTGCAGCCAGAGCAGCAAAGCTGCTTCAGCCGCGCGTCAGAACTAACTGGTACAAGCAGCAAAAAGGAATCAGCAGACGCGATTTTGCTGCTTTTGCTGCGTGAACGTAGCATAACTGCACAAAGATTGCCACTGTGCTAGCAACGAGAATGCTTTTAACTGGGGGGTGTAGCAGTTCTCGCCGTAAAGCAAGACTGACTCTCACGAGACTTCTGAGCCTGTGGGTGCCGGTCGGTGCTCCTGCAGTTGCAAGTGCAGTATTTCCCCCACAGACCACCAGGGCGGCCGAGAATACCTTTGTTCAACCTGAAATGACTCATTTAATCATCCATAACGTTATGGAACACATTAATTAACTGAAAAATGTTGCATAGTGTGCCTTTAACTCTGATCAGACTAAAGGCATCTGAAATAAAATATTTTCTGCTAGAAATTATTTGTTGGATTTAGGTCTGGGCTTTTCTAGGCCATTCTTTCACTTTAGTGCATTTTGATCCCAAACCATTCCAATATTGGGCTATTTTGGATGTATAGGAACCTTTAAACAGGATAGGGCTTTGGTGTTTTACTCCCATTTATGTAACAGTTTAAGCCACTTTATACCCTTTAACAAAATGTATGTTTGTCACAATCTATGGACATACAACTGAGTATCATCATCATCATCATCATAACATTGGTTACTAGAAAAGCACTCAGAGAGCACAGACCTCCGCCAAGCAGCAAATGTTGCCCCATATTGTGACTTACACCCATACTGGAGCTAAAACTCACACCTAATCTGGATGATTACCAAATGTTCTGCTCTCACCTTCTTCATTCATTGTTTGTTTTTCAGTGTAGTCCTGTTTTTCTGACTGGGACTAACTGTGTGTGCTCTCTTCCATCCTCTGACATGGGAGCTGGCTGGTAGCTCATCTGCCTGGCTGTGTGTTTCCTAGATGGGGCCATCTGTGAAGCTGGTTAACAGTTGCCTTTTGTATCTCTGCTTTTTTCTGGAAGTCTGCTTCTGTCATCTTGAACCCCCATTGGCCTCAGTAGTCTGACTGCTTAAACTGAGCCTGGTTCTATTGAAGGTTTCTTCCTGATAAAAGAGAGTTTTCCTCTCCACTGTCGCTACAAGCAATCAGTCAATGAGTCAGTTCTAAGGGGAACTCACTACCTGTAATTGAGTACTCATCTTATGCGTCATTATTTTTTCACAGTCATATGAGGGATTGAAGGATGATCTATGAGATGTTCTTCATAGACCAACCCTGGTTTAACTTAATCTTCCTCCCTGAACTCTTTGCTGTCTTCTTTAATCTTTGTGATGTTATTTATTTTCAAATGAACCTCTGAGGTGTCCAAAACAGCAGGTCACAAAGGGGTGTGTATACTTCAGCCATGTAACCTTGCCCTGTTTATGTTCTGCCTACAGATTAGGTGGAGTCCTTCCTAAACATGCAGTTCCCCACTCAGATGGAAGACTTGTTTTTGAGCGACCCCTTAACATCTCAGACATGGGCACCTATCAGTGCTTGGTAAAAAACACTGAGGGCAAATACGAAGTGAAGGTGGAGATTACCTTAAAAGGTAGATAACAGAGCATTTAGCATGTCTTGTCAATCTAATGCATACTGTGAGAATCTACATATGTATATATAAACAAACCCTTTCAATCCCGGCTGTATCTGCTGTAACAGAGCATAGAGAGGAAATACATGAGAACAAGATGATGTACATCGTTGGGGGTGCGGCTGGTGGGCTGCTGATTGTCATGCTCATCCTTGTCATCGTCCTCACATGTCACCACAAGCAAAAGAACAAGAAACTGAAAAGGGAGCTGACAAAGAAAAGGTATAAGAGAAGAATTTTTATGATTCTAAGGTTTTATGTAAAATCAGATTTATCTTTAAAAGAAAAACATACATGAATAACATTAATTAAGCATATTAAATTTAACAGAAATAAGATAATATTAAGGTGATTAGAAAAAACAGCAGATTTAGGAGTCAATGCAAGGAAAATGCAGTTTCCGAACCAACTATAAGCATTATTTATGTTGATATAATGACGCAATTTAAAAACTCCAATTGAATGTTGGAGTAACTGTCAAATTTTCCATCTCATATTTCTTCCAGGGAAGAAATATCTAATCTGTCCAGACAAGCTTCATTCAGGAGGGTGAACTCTGTCAGCACTGATGCCAGAGAGGTGATTCTAGTTTATTTTTGTGTGTGTGTGTGTTATTATATATTTTTGGAAAGCATTGTGATTCTTTTTTATAAAAGCAGATTGAGGAGAGCCTCCCTCTGAGAGTGGAGTCAACCCTGAGGAACAGCCTGTCTTCCCTCGGGGTCAGTCTACGTATCAATATAAATCTGCATGCAGGGCCAGGGCCTGGGACTGAGGCTTTACTGTCCAGATGCCGCGCGGCTAAGTTCTGAGTTTCTCCATTTCAGACCTGAATGTAGTGCATCTCAGACTTGCATTTCTTTAAGGCTTTATTTATATTTTTGAAATGCTTTTCTTTCTGGGGACGTTTGGGTTTCTATGATTTTGGAATGCTCATTTTTCTTTTAAGTATATATAGACAAACAACTGGACTGTATTATTTGTAGCATGAAAACACCACTTCTGTTGTTTTACTGATAAATATGATGCAAAAAGTCATTGTTTCCCAATGATTAGTTACTATATGCAGAACAAAATGCCTAAGCTTCTTTTTAATTGTAACTCAATATCTGTCATAGTATGTATAAGAAATAGCATCATAATAAAAAAAACTGCTGTGATGCTTCCAGAAAAGGCTAAAAAAATAAACCACTGGATTTTGTTTCCAAGTTTGAAATCGTTTCGCTTCCCATCCAGGAAGCCTTTTTAATTCAAAATGTCACAAATACCATTGAGTTTGAGGCTTTATAGAGTGGACCATAAACAAAGCCTTGTTTTGGCTTAGAAAACATGCAAATTGAAACGGACGAAAGGGTCCGCACCTTAGGAATGGGAGTCATTCGGGTTTATTAGCCTGCAATACCCTATACCTCTATGTCTCTGAAAGGGGGCTCGTTAGAGGGAATTGTTGGTCTGGCTGAACAGGCGAGGTGTTCTGTTCCCCTGTATGGGGGACGGATGTCAGGCTAGAAATCTAGAAAGAGCTTCTGCTGTAATCAGACTTTATCCAGCTGGCTAAATATTACATTAGCATCAAAAAAGAAAAATCATATGATTAGTTTTAAATTAGCCAACAATTATTGCATTTCAGAGAGTTCCTTGCTTTGCTTGTGATTCTTTATTAAAGTTACACCAAATCTACTCTCAGCAGTGCTGTTAATCCTTTTCAGAGGTTAATGCATAGAATTTGCTATCTTAATTGGCACATTTATATTTCACTTACCAAAAGAAAGGGATAGAAGTGGCCTTTTGGTTAGAAAGCAGGGTATTTGCCTCCTGGAGAGGCAGCAGGTCCTTGAATTTTACCCTTAGCCCCAAAATGCTTCCAAGGCCTTGCTAAAAAATATGCTCACTGCTCAATAAGCGATGTTAAAAGCAGGGGTCAAATTATTTTGTGATACAAATATCAAAAGGACAAATAAAGTTCATTATTATCAAAGTTTATTTTGTTTTATTATTCCTTTATTTAACCAGGAAAAGTCCCATTGAGATTAACAATCTCTTTTTCAAGGGAGTCCTGGCTGAGACAGCGGCAAAAGATTACATTACAAATTACATTACAGTTTACAATTACACCTATCTATAATTAGAAATTCATAAAACAGTTACAAACCATAGATCTCATTTCGAAACCTTTGAGCAATCGTTTAAAATGTCCGATTGGAATCAAATCCTTCAACTTCCAGTCTTTCTGAAGATTGTTCCATGCTGCAGAGTACTGAAAAGCTGTCTTTCCAAGTTCAGTGCGGACACTAGGTACAGACAGAAGCAAAGACTCTTGAGAACGTAGAGAATACAGTCCAGCCGCTTATTAATCCTTGTCCATTTTATTGTATCCAGTATAACTGGATAAAATGAAACGATTAGCATTATTTAAGTGGAGCTGCTACAATCACAAGATAGATGAAGTTGGTCAGTCTGTAGACTGCTGGTTAGTGAGACGGTATGCTGAGCTTTATGGGGAGATCCATTGGATTGTGTGAGCTGATACTAGAGCTTCACCAGATTCAACCAGATTACTCAGGGACTTGGAAGACGGAAGTCCAGTTGGATAACACAGGTCGAGAGAACCTGTCCATGATGAGCAAGCATGAAGCGACAGTGGAGAGGAAAAACTCCCAGTTGGGGAGAAACCTTTGGCAGAACCAGGCTGAACATGGCGGTGTTCTGCCGGACCGGTTGAGATGAGACAGGGAACGCAGTAAGAGTCCGGAAGGAATGAAAATCTGATGAAGCTTTATCTATGAAGGTGGAGGAGGGGCTGGAGGTGGGTTGAATTGGCGTAGCATGTGAATGAAGTCACACAACGCATCCACAGCCTGCGCACAGGTCAGACAGTGCGGTTCAGAGTCCTTTTAAGATGAACTTTGGACACCGATTGGCTTTCATGTCGCAGGTGGATATAGGAGAGCAATCATTTTCTTCAATTGAACTTGTGTCTAGGCTCCATTTTAAACAAACTGCAAAAGCAGACCTTTAAGTTGAAAACAGAGCTCAGTCCACACCAGTGGCTTTGTTAAAGTTCCTATCAAAACCTCTATTTGCATTGCTGCTATAATGGTTTCATAGAAAACCTAGACGATGCTAGGCCTGTTAGCTTTATTGCATGCTAACAGTCGAGAGATCCGACTTGTATAGAAGAACAGGATCTTGCATTAAAAAATCACTTCTTTTCAGATGTTTTGGAAGTGGGAGAATATTTGGGGATTTTTCGGTGTGGTTAGTTTTGTGTGTCATGCATGTTTTGTGTGGTTCAGATGGTTAGAAATTATGCTACACCAGCTGCTTCTTCACTTCCTTTTCCTTGCATAGTTTTCTTAACTGATTAGTGCCTATCCAAGCAGTTTTAAGACCTGAAACAGCACCTAAAAAGGGTAATGTAACAGGAAGTGAAGGCTCAAAATACAGGACTTTGAAAAAGTATTCCTACCCCTTGAACTTTTCCCCATTTTCACAATGAAACCACACTCTTCTTTGTATTTTATATTGATCCTAAACACAAGCTAAAACCTATTGATATAGTGGAAGTATTGCTTTCTGTGAGGTAAAACAAAAAAGTAAAATACTTTCAAATGAAATTCTAAAAACTATAGTGTACTTTGTTCATGGGAAAAAGTTCAATTGCATGAATGCTTTTGCTGGCTAATTAAATATGTTATTAAGTCTCTATAAGTGAATTTATCTTTTAACACAAGCATCTATGTATAAGTGCTTCTCTATGTTTTAACAAACATTTTTTTCCCCCTGCATTAACAGGAGCAAGCCCGTTGCCGCGACAGCAGATCGACCATCTCAGGTGTGCGTGTAGGCGGGGGCTCTGCTTACGACTCTCTTGGGAGACCGTCTATCTACAACAACTCAAGGAGGGGAAGGGACAGGGCTATGGTTAGGGACGATGAAACTCAGCTTAGAATAGAGCAATTTGTGAGAAACAGCAACATGTCCTTGGTAAGTATGTTGTTCTGCTTGTTTCATGTCTAAACTTGTTTATAACAAATTTCGGAAAACTTCTCATCTAGTTTACTAACCTCTGCATATTTCTGGCTGATGATAACAATGACAAAGGTTTCTGCTTGGTGTCGTTGCAGCAGGAGACCCGTTTGCTTCCCCCTCTCATCCAAGGAAACTACCCCACAATACGCTCAACTGAGGTCATAAGAAAGATGAACGGCAGCGCTATCATCCCAGCAAATGGGGGTTCACACACAGGAAGCACCATCAAGAGCTACCAGCCCCCTCCGACGAGCAGCACCTACCCACAAGGAACATATGATGAGGATGAGATTGATGAAGGGCTAGGTGGCCCCATTAATCAGGAGCATCCTGATGATCAGGACAGTGTGGCCTCCAGCTCCAATTTCTCCAAAAACAGGATGAGCCCTCCGGCTCTCAGTCACAACCCCCACACTTCCTACGTCCACAAGGCCCAGATCGTTTAGCAGGAAGCAGCAGGACCTCATGTAAAACCGCAGAAGTAAGAAGCTGCGCTTTTGACATTTCCCAGTCACCAAGATTAGCATCATTTCTGTTCTCCTCAGGGTGGAAACAGACTTCTCTTAAGAAGGAAGTCAGGAAGGATTCCTGACTTCTGCACACCTTTTGGAGATCAGTCATTACAGACAAAATATGATGTTACAACATTTCCGACTGTTGCAGTTGCAGCCGCTTTTGCAATGCCCTGTTGTTTTAAGAGGCTTCAGATGCCAGCACAGCTCAGAAACATTGTGCAGATACACCTGGAGCTTTTCATACCAGTGGAAAGCAGGAAATGCGGGAGGAGTAACAAAAAAAGAAAAAGAGCTGTGGGAAAGTATGTTAATCAGAGGAGTCGATTGCAACAGGTGGTGTGCTGTGGAAAAGTAACTGTGCGTATGATGAGTTTGCATACACGCACTTCTTTGGACCTGATCCAGAACTTGTGCGTCTCTGGCCACGCCTCAAACACCAATATCTCTGTATACCTTCACTTCAGTCATCCAGACGAGGCAGTATGTCTCTGCATTGATCTTTCTGCAAATATGGACTGTTTGGTGTCCATGAGACTTTCTTTTACTGAAACGGCAGTTAAAATGTTTTCATATCATTATTCAGTTCAGATGCTTCCACAAGATTGTATGTGTACTTTATTTTTATTTTTTTACAAACTTACAATCTCCCCGTGTTATTTTTTTTACTTAAGGATACTGTGAATAGAAATTAGTCCACCCAACTTCTACATGTCTTTTGAGGACTTTGACGTTGTATACAGTTGTGCTTGAAAGTTTCCGTACCCATCCATTAAAGACAAAAAATATATATTGATACTGATTTTGAATATATATATGTATATATATATATATTAATAAATAAAACAAGTAAACAAGCCTGATGGAGCTCCTGAAGTAAACTTTTGTTGAGCAATACTATGAGGCAGTCACTGAAATCAGGTGTTTTCTGTAATGTTCAGGAAATGCTCATTCAGACTTTTATATCTGTTGATAGGTATATTGGTGCTTTAATTTGTATAGGATAGTTTATTTTTTAGAATATTTTTAAAGAATAATTCTAAATCCATATTTTATTTTACAAAGTTATCATTTAGTACACTTTTTTTAATCATTACATTTTTTTTACAGTTTTGAACACAAAACTAAAAAAATGGGAGGGTATGTAAACTTTCTAGAACAACTGTATGTTGTAAACTTAAAACTATACATTACATAATCAGCTCCAAGTCATAACAATTCACTATCCACACTTGGCCATTTGTCTGTATCAGTTTTTATCCCTTGTTTTTTGTTTTGTTTTTTTTAGCTTTGATGAATGATGGGTATAAAGTCACAAAATGCTTGGACCGCACTTATAATTAAATTCGATTTCAGTTTTTACAGAATTCTCATAACCATGTTTTCCTTACAGTAGACTGAAAGGAGATTCTAAAAACATTCTTCAAATCATTAATTGTTAAAGGGGGGGAAATGTCCCCCTGGTGGGTACAAATTGATATTTGGTACTGGGGGAAAAAATGACTGTAAAATAGCCAAAACTGCAAAGGTACAACTGCAAAGACAATGCAAAAGAAAAAAGGACCAGCGACCAATGAAGTATGGTACACCGATGCTGAGTTGCCTGTTTGCATGTTCACTCAGATATACGCTCAGGACAAAAGTCATGAAAATGAATGTTATCGTGGATATTACCATGTGCCATTTTGAAAGTTTTCAGAACCAGCAACAAAACTATGCCTTTGCGAGAGTAATGTGACATTCTCGTTCTGATATGCTGGCATGTGCGTGTTTACTGTTTTTATTTTTTATTCTCATTATTTGTGGAATGTTGATTTTATTGTTTGGCTCATATTTGTTCTTGAGTATTCATAAGGGTTCAGTTGCTGCCCTCAAAGGGGTGTGCCAAAGGGAATAATGTGTCTTTGCTGTGTTTTGCAAAACTGAAAGTATTATTTTGTTCCATGTTGTAAAAGCATTCACCTATATGGCTGTTTCCAGTAAGTGGATGCTTCCTAAAGCCGTTGCTAAAATGTCTAAATCAGTTTGGGACAAAAAAAGCAACAACAAAGCAGGTCACCTAAAAGAGAGCCGTTGAACGGCTTGGAATTGATTTCTTAAAAACTAGCGCTCCCTGCTGTGAACAGTAAAGAATTGCAATTGCAATTTTCTGGTGGAACTCAGCTTCAATTATATATATATATATATATATATATATATATATATATATATATATATATATATATATATATATATATATATATATATATTTTTTTTTTTTTTTTATTCAAAAACCAGAACATCTTCCTGATCACAATTTATTTCCCCTGGTGGGTTCTAAGGGGATTGAACATAAATAGGAGTGTAAAGTTCAATGTGCTCGGTCTCATTCAATTAATTACCCAAGGGATTCTTTTTTTGTACAGGTGAAACTCTACAGTGGATGTTAATGTTTAAATAAATACACCATTAACATATTGGTAATAACTGTGGCCCTTGATTATTTATGTTTAATGTGCTTGAAAACTTAATGGATAAAAAACTTATAAGAATAGATAAAGTAAATATTTTGAGATAAACTTTAATTCGCTTCAGTTTATTCATATGGTACCAATTTACACACATATATCAAGGCACTTTACAGAGACAATTCAACCAGATCATACAGTCAGATTGGTTCAAATTATTCTATGTAAGAAAAACCAGCTGATTGCACTGACTCGTTGGCTCGAAAGCAATCCCTCACACCATGCATGCTTGTAGAGGAAAAACTAACTTTTAATAAGAAGAAACCTCTAGGAGAACCAGGCTCAGTGTAAGCGGCCATCTGCTGAGGCTGACTGGGGTTCAAGGAGACAGAAGCAGATATAAAAAAAAAAAACTAAAACAAAAGTAAATTCAGTAGGAATTTAACCATTTTAAGCACTACATCTGCAATGTGAAAAGTCTGGCACAAAATCCTTAACACATCCGAAGAAAGGATCTCACATTTTAGCTGAGATTTATTACCACTTTGCCCCCCAGGGCTTCCTCGTATTTGTTTCACTGTATCCCTTAGATGTGTTGATTTGATTGGATCAAAGAGTTCATTGTGCAAGTATGTGAGGATATTTACCAAACCAGATCTCAGTCCAAGTCTAGCAAACATGTATGAACTTTTTGATTTGAATCTGGATGTAGTTAGGTTGTGTGAACCTGCCCAACTAGTTCTGTCAGATTGGAGGAAGCTGCATCCTCTCAGCTCACAAATAACTGCCCTCTATTTAGAATAGAACTCTTATTGTGTCTCAGTACTTGGAAAAAAACATTAGAACATCTTGAAGTCCAAAATGACAATTTATGGATGTCCTGATAATAAAGAATGACTGTAATATAGTCCAGCTTTTAAATAACACATGCATGGACTGAGTGTTGGATGAAAAGTGACTGGTTGAAATCAGCTCAGGGTCAATCTATGCTGTTCACAATGAACCATATGGAAAATAAATGACCATAACATTTATATTTTCTAAGTAAATCACTGAAGACAGATCAGTTTTTTTTTTAAATAAGGCTTTGTCATAATGGGCTTTAAAGATCATGCAGAGAACTACTCAGAGACCAAGGGTAAAAGTTACTGGTTTATTGAGGGCTAGCAAAACACAGATGGAGAGAGATATTCTGCTGGGTAATAGTGTTGGACCTCAGCGGACTGATGAACCTGAACCGGAAACTATGAAGGGGAGATCACAATGATCAGTTCAGGGACTGTGGGAAAAAGACAGAGGCTTTTTTATTGCTTGAGAGGCACTCATGTTTTGGGGGGCTCTTGGTAATTCCTTGGATCCAGTTTGTTGGGTTTAGAAGGAAGAAGGAACTCGTTGGAGAGCGGACAGGCAGACTAATGTTGGACTAAGAGGAGTAAAGGAGCAGACTGTCACCTGGCTTTCCAGAATTGGACTTGAACGGACCATGTGGAGGTTTTCCCCTTGCTCAGTGTGACTCAGATAATCCTTCCTGGGGGGTAGAAGGTCCAGGCTTATCCAGTGTTTCAGGAAGGCTTCCTGCTGAAGAACAAAGACAAAACAAGCTTAGACTCAGTGAGACAAGACTAAGGTTAGACTCTGCTAATCTCAGTATGGCTGGAGTACCCAATACTGGCAAACACTCTGGCATCGAGGTAGTGACAGCCCGCTGCTCAAATACTCCTCTGGTAATGACCCAACGAGCCGCAGGTGTGCAAGGAGGCCCAACGAGGACAGGGCACCATCTGGTGGTGGAGAGAAGAAAACACAAAAACAACCCACACAAACTAGAATCCTAACAGGCTTTTGTTAGTAAAACTGTGAACATATTTATACATAGTTGCTGTTGAAATTATTCTATGGTTTTCATACATTAAACGGGTTTAGCAATTGTTCTTTATCTTTAGTTACATAGAGACCTCCCAGATTACTGTAGAAACAAACTCACTACATAAAACATAACAGGGTATGCTTGAAAGAATGTTATTTCTGCTTTAGTCCTCTTTATTTGTAGCATATATTTGTGAATAATTAATCAGTCTATTGTCTTTTTTGTCAGATTTTGGTTAATACAGCCTACTAGTTTTAAAAATGTCAAGGTAGGAAATTCCAGATGATAAATCACTGCTGCCACCCTCTGGTTTGGAAGAGAACTGCTTATTCAAATGGGTTGAATTACATCCCAGTGGGGAAAAGAAATCACCAGTGGTGGACAAAGTACTCAGCTATAGTACTTGAGTAATAGCAGTGATACTCATGGTCAAATATTTCTCAACTAGATGTAAAAATTCCTTGGAAACATTTCCTCAAGTTATAGTACTGAAGTAGGCCTACTTACTTTGAAAATACTTAAAGGCACACTATGCAACATTTTTCAGTTAATTAATGTGTTCCATAACGTTATGGATGATTAAATGAGTCATTTCAGGTTGAACAAAGGTATTCTCGGCCGCCCTGGTGGTCTGTGGGGGAAATACTGCACTTGCAACTGCAGGAGCACCTCGTGAGAGTCAGTCTTGCTTTACGGCGAGAACTGCTACATCCCCCAGTTAAAAGCATTCTCGTTGCTAGCACAGTGGCAATCTTTGTGCAGTTATGCTACGTTCATGCAGCAAAAGCAGCAAAATCGCGTCTGCTGATTCCTTTTTGCTGCTTGTACCAGTTAGTTCTGACGCGCGGCTGAAGCAGCTTTGCTGCTCTGGCTGTGCGGTGCAAAAGTGTGTCTGAGGCGCATTGGGCGGAGCTTCACTATCCTTCTTCTTCTTATGAGATTTTATGGCGGTTGGCAAACTTGTGAAATGTGCATTACCGCCACCAACTGATATGGAGTAAAGCAAGGAAACAGGAAACGATTCACCCCCCCCAAAAAAAAAAAAAAAAAAAAAAAAAAAAAAAAAAAAAATACAATAAAATAACCTGTGTAACTTAAACCCACATAATACTAAATTATACTAAATTACATTTGCCCGTATAATTTTAATTTACTCTAGGTCATCGTACCTCTGCCAGTTTCTGATGGTCCCATTGGTCTTTCCATCATGCTTCCAACCATCTCCCAGTTCATATCTTTAACATCCAGATATTTTTCTGCAGCCTTCACTATTATTTTGATTTTTTCTGTTTTTTTTGTCGTCTGAGCAGTACAATTAATCACTTCCACCATGAAAAGAACAAAATTTGTCTTTTTAACAATTAGTGAGTCTTCATCAATTTTTGGAGATTTCTCTAGAGGTTTGAAATTTGCCGTGTGTTGAACTGTAGGTTTGGGTTTTTCTGACTGAGATGGGATCCTTTTTGCAGCTTCAGCATAAGTTATTCCAAGCTCAAATTTCATTTTTTTTATTTCTTCAGACCTTTTGCTTGCTTCACAGCCGCGATAAGCAGCAGTATGTTCTCCACCACAATTACAGCATTTTATTTTAGCTTCTTTTCCACATTTACCATATTCATGTTCTCCTGCACACCTTCCACACCTCTGTTTCCCTTTACAAACTGCTGCAATGTGTCCGAATTTTTGACATTTGAAACATCTCAATGGTGGTGGATTGTAGATTTTGACATTGTAACTGATGTAACCGATGAATACTTTGCTTGGTAATTGCTCTTCCTCGAATTTAATTAGTACAGATAAACTGTCAGATCTTTCTCCGTTTCTTGTTGTTTTTAACCGTTTTACTTCTTTTACTTTTGCACCGCTTATGTTTTCCAGAATCTCTTTTTCAGAAATTTTCAGAGGAACTCCTCCAATGACTCCCCTGCTGATCTTTTTGTTCTCCATTAGGCTGCACTGAACTCTTATCCCGTCAATTTTGTTAATACGTATTGCTTTGCCTTGCTGGGCGCTGTCTCTGCAGTTAATTAGCAGGTCTCCACTGTACAGAATTCTGGCACCTCTGACTTCTCCAACAAGTTTATTGATGGTTTTTGTTAAGTGAACCGGATTCCAGTTTGTAAAAGAGTCTGCCTGATTAACGACTTTGAATATGACTTTGAATTCATTTTGTTGTGCTGTGGAATGTATGGATTGATCATCACTGGATTGTTCTGAACTAGATTCCCCTTTAACTGATCTCTGTTTTTTCCGCTTTTTCTCATTTTTTGATGCTGCTATCTTCCAACCTTCATTGTCACTATTTCCCTCTTCCATCCCACAAGAATCGCTTCCTGTTTCCTCACTACTCACGGCCCAGGACATTTCTCCACAAGCAGAGCAGCTTCAAAACACGCGCCATGCACCAAACGACCAACGTTCCTCCCCAGGTCCCAGCTTCACTATCCTTTCTCTGCCTTGCAGCTATATTTGCTGTGATCAGTGGGAATAAAGTAGTTTTAATATGTGTTTAAGTGAGAAAATACACCTGAAAACGTAATCAGTGCAGTCAGTTCATTCAGATTATTATCCTGCCTTCAATATTTTTTCTGTCGGAGCCACTCAGACCCCCACATACCAGGGATGCGCCGACAGTATGGATCCCTTCATCAGCAGCGGTTCACCGCGGCAGCTGGTAGGTGTTTTTCATCTAAATAATCCAAACTG